TCACGCACTATCAGTGTTATCGTCATTGTTTTCACTTATTGACTTTTATTGTTACCGTTTCCTATTAGCACTGTGATTGCTTTTTGTTTTTGGCTAGTATTTTGATTCGTATCATTACTGTTTTTTGTACTATTGTTGTGATTGTGACACTGTTATTCTTCTTATGAGATTTAGAGTCGCGGCTTTGCGGATGCTTTCAGGTCCTGCTTTGCCGCGTCGTCGCGGGAAGTCCGCGTGTCTGCACCACGAACCAGATCGATGCGGAGCGACTGCGAGAGGAGTTGGCCCAATAACAACTACACCTCAAAAACAATAAGAATATATTGATAGTAATAATGGCAAGAAGGGAAAAACGAAGGTTTAGGGTAATTAGGGATGTTTAGGGTGCAAAAGCTTCACAGGGCTTCAAGTTCAGCAATTCGGACTCAACTCCGGGTTGCAGGGTTTATGGTTCAGGGCTTGGGATGTCAGGATTAGTGACTGGAACTTAAGCTTCCGAGTCGATTTATGGTTACCTGAACCCCCTTCTCACGAGCCCTGGATCCTCAAAGCCCTAGAGAATTGAAGGTTTAGTGCCAGGGACGCTTGTGCGCGTTGTCAGGGAGGGTTGATGGCTTCTTGACCTGGGGTTCGAACCAACTCGGGGGGTTCCCATGCAACATGAGCACTTCCGACGTGCTCCACACACTCTAAGCCCTGCTGTAGTACGCGCAAAGACAACGAAAACATCATGAGCCGCAGCAACACCCGATAGTACAGCAGCAAATATCTACAACATGGTACTGGGCTTGACGACGTCTAGGGCTTGGGTCTGTAGTCTTTGAAGTTCTATGGGAGTTTGGGGTTTTCGAAGCATGAATTGCAGTTTGGGATTCGTTTTGGGTTTGGGTTGCTGGGGTTTCGGCTAGGGGTCGGGGTTAGACTTCTTCGGCGGCCGGGTACCCATAGGCCCCAAAGTAGTTCCTTTTTGGGATTACCTTATAGGATTCTATATACGAACCCCAAAAAGGAATTACTTGGGGGCCTTCGGGTATCCACCTCTCAAGACGCCAAGGCAGACTTCTCTCTGACTGTCACCTGTTAGTTCTTCTTTCGAGCTGGACCTCACTGAATGATAATGTACAAGATCCGGCCTTCCTTCAGAAAGCCCTATACCCTAGAAAACCCTAACCCTTGAACCCTCATTAACCTAAACCGTGGATGTTACGCCGTGTTGAATGCAGATATCAACAAGCAGGACATCCTCGGCGGACGGCATCACTCCGTCCTGGGAGATAGGTGCCTGGCCAGCATAGGTTCTGCGAGATTCTATCATTGCGTTGACTTACTATCCTGCTTACATATACCAGGCAGGTTTTCTGTGTTCGGGAGGTTTTCAGAGTTCGTGTTCGGCCAGAGATTTGCTGAATTCACAATACACCTACGCCCAAGCCCTGCAAGCCCTCACTCGCTAAAACTCCTAAACCCTGCAACCCCCAGGCCCATAAGCCCCAAACCCTAGAATTTGTGAAGTCGGCCAACACCTTGAATCCCTGAGACCCAGGCCCAAGGGTGTGACAGGGTTGTTTGTTCTTCTTTTGCAGGGCTCACATGTTTTGCGGGCCTCATGAACATGAACGTCTCCTGCTTAGCAGCACTAGCTTTCACAGGGGGCTTGAGTTCAGAACCGCCCTGCTTCATAAGAGCGTCGGTCTATCAAAGTCCTTCAGGACACAGGGCGAGAACGGACAGTAAGGGATCTTATTGTTACGCTTGTGAGGCTGCGACAGCTACTTCTGATAGTGGTGGCTGTGATCACATTCGGGGCATGTCAAGTCTGGATGTGTTTCAGGCATTCGGGTTAAATCGGAGTCATCTTGCTGGGCAGGGTCACGGAGTTGAAGAAGCCGTTTCGCGAAATCGTCGTCTATGACACAGTGCTTTGGCCGCGTAGAGGCTTTCGATTTACTTGCGAGATTCGGGGGTTCAGGGTTGGAGGTTCAACACTGTGTCTTTTGCAAGGGGACTTATTATGACGAACGCAAGCACAAAAGGATTTTAAGGCTCCTGAAGTGGGTACGGTGCACAGGGTCCATCGGCTGTCAGTGAGAGCAGAGTTCTGCCCTTCGATGCCCCACACAAAACCCTGAACCCTCAACCGCGCACTCTGAACCCAGAACCCCCAAACCCTAAGCCCAGATGATAGTCTCTAAATCCTACACACTCTTTCTCTGCTCGAAAGAGCTACCAAGACCGCATTGCGACATTCGCCAAGGGCCTCAGAACCCATTCAGCGGGAAAGTCTTTCTTCTGTCCAGGTTGCCCCCGTACAATCACGACTTTCGGGTAGCTGCGTGGCGATAGCCTCGCGCCTGTCACAGTGCGGTATCAGAGTTAGATGTATATACTCCAAAACCTTGATCAAGACTCCTCCGCACGGTCATGTCTTTGTTCCTTTGGTGCTTTGGCTCAGGACCAGGTATATCCGGAGTTCCTGCTGACATACACCCGCCGCTACTGACCTACTGTCATCAGGCGGTGGAGGCGCACGTGGCCGTCAAGACAACCATCTGTTAGGTCTCTCTTGGACGGCGCATGTGCCAATGCCGTTATGTAATTCGGGTGCAAGGCTGAGACTGAAGGTTAGTATGTGGCAGGCACGACAAAGTCTCTACATGCGCTAATCGTGCTCTCAGTCACCTTGCGGTGGCGACTCCACGCCGTGACAGACGATGGCTGACGGTGATATTGACAGTGATTGCGATGGCGATGCTGACGCTGATTCCGATACTGATGCTGGCCCCAATGCTGTTGCTGATGATGATCACGATTTCGATGGCGATGGTAATGTCGACCGTGACCATCATGACGACAAAGAGGATGCTGACATTGATGCCGACTGGCGTCTCGATGATGCTGATGATGACGTTGGCAATAACAATAATAATGATGATGACCGTGAGTGTGATGGTCGTGGTCACGACAGTGACGATGCTGCTGAGGATGATGAAGACGATGACGATGTCATGATGGCACTTTCTCTCCATGGGTACGATCTGCAACTTGACCCGCCGGCGACAGGTCTACATCCACGTCATTGTCCAGAAGGTCTCAGCCGATTTTGCTGCTTTGGGCTTCTAGTCGTGTGGTCGGCAGGCATTTTATTTCAATTATGCGAACACTTTCATGGCTGGCTTGTGTTGCGTCTTTCTTACTGGCAGTAGCCAAAGTTTGTACTGGTAGGGGTAGACGAATAACTGTGCCGCCGCGGGGTCGGGGCTGCTTCAGTAGGGACAGCAGCAGCTGCAGTGATGGTTTCTAGCAGTCTCTAGTAGTTGCCTTTAAGAACAGTTCTCGTGCACCAGTCGCATTCGGCAATGGACCATCAGCAACACAAGAACTTTGCACCTTGCGCCCTGAACCCCTTTGTCTGCAGTCTTTCGAGTGGCTGCTGGCGGACCTCGGCACTCCGGCCACGGACTAGTGGCCACAGAGGACAGCAAGGAGCGAGCTGACGGCGGAGGGTTCCATGAAAATGCCTGGGAGTAGACTATACCTACCTTTGGTTAGTAGGGAATGGAGGAATGGGGTACAATCATAACTACTATGACTACCATTCTTCCATTCCCTACTAACCAAAGGAAAGTATAGACTGCTTCAGTCGACTGACTTGTCATGCCAGCGTATGCCTTGAATCTATAGCCTTATGTGGTGAGGATATTCCTGCGGTGTGGCTGACATGCTTGTCTAGCCTGACCGCAACCCAAGGCAAGTCACTAGTATTACGGCTAGGTCACCTGCAAGTTATGCTTTGGTGGCGAGGTTTGCATAAGTTTGTTGTGTCAAGTCAAGTGTGAGGGTATACCACTTTTCGGCCCTCGTCTGGACTTGGATCGAGGCTTTGCAGTGAAAGTCCTGGTATTATACTGAACCCTAAACCCCTGAACTCAGCGCTGATTCAAGCCGCAAGCCAAAATGCCCAGAAGCGCAGCTAAAAATGCCTCGGACCCGTGAAGCTGCTTTGATGTTGACCATGGCTAGATCTGGTGGATGTTTGTACCATTCTACATGTATGATCGTTACCAAAAAGACCACAGCTGTCCGCATACGTTGTCACTACTCGGGCTGTGCCGAAGCGTGGCTGAAGGGCCGCATTTCTGGCTCTTTACTCATATTGCAGCTTCATGGCTTGACAACTCACCAGTCAACTGCATCATTGCCATTGCGACTGCCTTTCTGTGTTGCAGTTATTGAGGCTATCAGCCTGAGCCTACTATGTTACTGTTACCGACATTATTGCTGCTGTTGTTGTTTTTCGTGATTGTCGCAGTCGAAATATCATCTTCGTCTGGCTATAAAGAAGCATACACCATAACCACAGCAAATCCTGTTGCAATGGTTCGACCCCTATGGCCGTATCTTAGATGATCGGGAACCCAAGATCCGGCATCTTCAACATAATACCGTGCAAGTTCAACCGCTTGGAGCTGAAAGTTCCAAGGCAAGAAACGTCAAAGCATCCGAGTCTCCTTAAAACAAGAAAAGCGCACCGCATAGGGAACTTCCCCGCCCTATCAACAAAAGCGCTGTTTTTGACATGCAGCTCCAGGACAGGGAGGGCAGCAAGCACGGCAGGGGAGCACTCCCAATTCCGATCACGAGCCGGTCGTGAACGAGCAGGTACGTCTAGACTGGAGCCCTGGCAAAGCCTATGCGCATCGCATAGTTCAGGGATGTTGAGTGTTTTTCAGGCCTTCGCAGAGCCTCCACAGATCCCATGTTTAGTTCCGCAGCGTTAACAAAAGGCAGTGTCGTGAGTCTGAATACGGGACCAAGAAATGTGGGACATTGGAGACTTTGGACTCATTCGCTGTGGGATGGTCGACCAAGGAAAGCGCTAAGTGTGTGCAGACAATGGGACAGCAAAGCTGCCAAGAACCATTCCAAGGGAGTTTAGGATGTTTATAGGGTTTAGGAATAGATTCATCGATGCTGATGCGATTGTTTAACAGGGATGACCGCAAGAAGGTGCCAACCATTTTCGTCCTTCAGACCTCCGCCGGTAGCAGCTTAAAGCTCTGCTGGCTGAGCATCCATCGCTTCAGAGCAACGGCCGTTGCAAAAAAGACGACGCTGCCCGCAAGGGACATGGGGCGCAAGATGTCTGGCAACACACACACACACTCACACATGCACACACACGCACACACATGCACACACACGCACACACACGCACACACACACACACACACGCACACACACGCACACACACGCACACACACACGCACACACGCACACACCCGCGCGCGCTAAGGTAGCGGACGAGTAGGTCATGGAACCGTACTAAATCCTAGCGCCAGCCCAGGCTATGTTTCTCAGACTGGGGTCAAAACCATACGACCCTAACCCTTATCCTAACCCCCCCCACTCTTAACTCTAAACCCCAACCCCAAACCCTTCAAAGCCCCTCCATCTTCCTCTCTTAGACCCTAGACACCAACTACTGGAGCCATATATCCCACCCATTGGGGATCCTATTCTAAACCCTATGGTACCCTTAAAGGGACCCTATGATTATAGAACCCTATGCTACTCGTACCCTTATAGGAATCCTATTATAGAAATCTATAGTACCCTTAAAGGGACCCTATTACAGAACCCTATACTACTGGTACCCTTATAGGGACCCTATAACTCTAGCACCTTTACAGGGACCCTATGATTATAGAACAGTATACTACTCGTACCCTTATAGGAACCCTATTATGGATATCTATAGTACCCTTAAAGGGACCCTATTACAGAACCCTATACTACTGGTACCCTTATAGGGACCCTATAACTCTAGCACCTTTACAGGGACCCTATGATTATAGAACAGTATACTACTCGTACCCTTATAGGAACCCTATTATGGATATCTATAGTACCCTTAAAGGGACCCTATTACAGAACCCTATACTACTGGTACCCTTATAGGGACCCTATAACTCTAGCACCTTTACAGGGACCCTATGATTATAGAACAGTATACTACTCGTACCCTTGTAGGAACCCTATTATAGAAATCTATAGTACCCTTAAAGGGACCCTATGATTATAGAACCGTATACTACTGGTACCCTTATAGGGACCCTATAACTCTAGTAGCTTTAAAGGGACCCTATGACAGAACCCTACAGAACCCCAAGATCTACAAAGCGTGTGCTGGCCTCGGACGCTTTCAGATCCAGAGCCGAGGCGCAGCTGCTAGAACGGCTGAGTGGGTCCTCGGTGCCGACTGGGGTTTAGACTTTAGGGTTCAGGGTTTAGGGATTTAGGGTTTAGGGTTTAGGGTTCAGGGTTTAGGGTTTAGGGTTCAGGGTTTAGGGATTTAAGGTTCAGGGGTAGGGTTTCGATTTTGGGCTGTGGGTAACTGTGGTGGGATGATCTCTGGGGTTCTATCCGTTGAAAAGATTAGATGGGTGGTGCATTGGGGTTCTTACAAGGGGTTTAGGATGTCAGACTGTTCAAGATTAGGATGCACACGCTCAGGTCTTAGTGCTGGCGGGTCGGCTTCGGGCTTAGATTGTGGTTGAGAAGTTTCTCGAGTCTAAGGTAGGGTGTAGCTTGTGTAGGTCTCGTCACAAAGGGCTGATGGTTGAGATTCAGAGCTCCTTGCGTGGATCCATTGTCTGGATGGACTTATTTTGGGGTTTGTTTAGCATAAAGCTTGCACCAGGTCCTAGGTTAGGTGAAAAGGGCTTTGGATCATACAGAACTACAGACGGTGAGTCCCTGCAAGTGACTGGTCCGCGGGCAAGTTTAGAAAAATGCGTCGCTTGCAGCAGGACGTGAGTGGGGTTTGGGGTTTGGGCGGTGGCGTACAAAATCATCGCAATGTTTGGGTCTCAGTAGATGTGTCAGCTTGGGTCTTTTGCGAGGCAACAACCGCGGCACTTTGTTGTGCTTGCAAGATCTCTTTGTAGATTTCCGTGAAGAGCTCTGTGTCTGTTTCAATAGGGCGCCAGTGCTTGACACACTGCTAGCTGCTGGCAATCTCCGAAAATTGAAAGCCTGTATCTAATGAGCGTTTGAGAGTTGCGAGGGTTTGCCATGATATTGAGGTCGCGAGGTAGCTTCGGCTTGCAGATTGCAACTATTTGGCGAAGGTTTGTCCGCCTCTATTGTCGGAGGCTCTGCACCTGTGAAGCTTTTTGGTTCAAGTTGTTTTTTGGGTTTTCGGTTGTGCAATGCTTTTGCAAATCAAGCATTCACAGCACCAGAGCACGCCGCAGTACCTGCCACGGTGACACCAAAGCCCCTCAGACAAGCCGTGGTTACATCGCATGAAAAGGGATGTCCTTGATTGATGGGCACGGGTACTCCAAACCTGCAGTAAAAGCACCTACCCCGCGCCGCAGTCTTTCCTCTGCGCCTAGGGGGTCCAGAGACGATTGAGGGTTGCGAGTTGAGGGGTTTAGGGGCGAGGGAGTCCGATTGACTCCAGCCACGGAGCCGTGTGTGGAACACAGGCGGGGA